GTTTTTCACAGGCAGGTTAAATTGACTGTATTAATACTGGTCTTATCTCTGGAGAGTCAAATGTTGATACGGAGGAACAAACACAGCATTATTGTAATTTTATTAAGCATATCTGAAAAAAAAAAATCCAACTCATTGAATACATGGTATAGGGATCAGATGAGAATGAGAGTATGTTAAAAAGACTGTCATCACATTTTCAAGAGGAATTTCTTGTTCTGGGATTACCGTGTAAAAGCAAGTTCACTATATTGTGTCAAGGCTTGCAGTGCTGCTGGTTCCAGGAAGTCTTAAGGTCTTTCTTCCTTCTCAGGAGCGCCTCAGAAATTGATTTTCCATTTCCTCATGGTCATTAGTTCAGTTTATGACTGTGAACAGGGCTCGGTCTATCACTTAAAGAAGCTACCCAGTCATCTTGATTTCTGACAAGATAAATCAATTACGAAAGTCTGCTCTTAAGTGTTAATGTAATATAACTTGCTGCAGACTTTCCAGTGGAAGTCCTTTCTTACTCTCGTTTCTAAATAATTGTTCACAGCTGGGCATTAATATCTGCTTTGAGCTGTTTGACAATCACTTTGCTCTATGAAGCATCATTGGTCTTGCATGTAGCTTTGTATCATTTTTTTCCCTGTGAACTACAGATGAACGCAGAGTTTGTCCCACCAGTGGGCTTTTCAGACAAACCAGAGTGACCGAAGAAATACTGCCTATTTGTAACTTTTTCCTCTAAGGTCCCAGCCATGTAAATATGAACATATTTACAAGTTTAAGTAGTTCTAGTGACTGCTTCAAACGGATGGCTAAGGACACATGTAAATGTTTGTGGTATCAAGTCTAGCTGTAAGTCCTGACAGCATCTGAAAGCCAGTGTAATCCATTATGTCAGGCCAGGCCTGATCTCGGCTGTGCCAGTGTAAACAAGGTGTTAGTCCAGTCAACAAAATTGCGTTGGTATCAGTGTGCAAACTCAGCTGTAATTTTGGTGTCTCTGTTCCATAACCTTGGATTGGGAAAAGAAGACAAGAAAATATTTATCAAAATATTAATGTTGAGCACGTCCAGAATTTAAACAAAAAAAAGCTAGAAATGTGCACAGGGTTGCATGCACAACGAAGAGACCTGCGAAAAACACAGGCACAATTAGAACTGCTGTTAAATCTGTTTTCAGTGTCACTTCTTTCTTTCACATATATTCGCTTAAAAGAAGGCTGTGTTCTACTACCACGGTATAAAGGAAGTGCTACAAAGCAGCAACTGAACCTGTACATCATTTTAATGACCTATAAACCCTCAAAGAGAAAGCTGTCAAGAATGTTTGATGTGACTCATAATCACCTCTTTCACTTCTAGCATGCTGATCTATTACCTACAAAGTATTGCAAGATCATTAAAATACACCAACAATCAACTGAGAATGAAGATCCAAACAGTAAGTACAGTTCAAAGCACTTTTACAGGCAATTTGGTGGGTCTTCAGGAAGTACGAGCCTAATTAAATCTCTGAAGTCACTTTCAGCATTTCATAAAGTAAAACCAATCCTGTATTTATCATGCTGACACTGCAGTGAGTTACTCTCTGATCTCTACTCACCTACTGCTTCTTACTCCTCTGAACGTATTTTAGGAAAGAACTGAAGATAAGAAAAAGGTGGTTCAGATGGCAGTAGGTAAGTCAGTGAGCTTTCAAAATGCCACTATCAGTAAGCATTTAGATGCATAATCATTTTGATTTCTCGTACCTATAGGAAAGTTCACCTAAATTTTAAAATTAAAAAAAAAAATCATATTTCCTGTAGAGTCCTCCTTTTAGATAGTTTTTGAGCTCGATTTGATTTAATCATGGCAGCACTGAAAGACAAGGTGTGTAGTTTATACGTAAACTCTGATGGGATCTTTGCACTGAGTATTTTCCTGCTTTTACTACCAACAGGGCAGGACCTGGGAGGCATCTCTGATGATTCAAATCGTGTCAGATCTTGTGCAAAATTCAGAGGGTAGTAGGCAGAGGAGGGGGAAGGGAATGCCCCCCATTCTTTTACCTGAGCAGGTTGAACATTTCACAGGTGATGAAAAAATTTCAGACTTGTCTACTGTACCTCAGGAAACTTGAATCTGCACCTTCCGCTTCTCGGATTTTAGCAGTGAGAAACCACAGAAAGGGTGCCATCCTTCTAATACCTCCCAGTGAAAGAAAAAGTGAAAATTTGCTAAGCCAAAGAGAAGACATGATTCTGTAGCCTTATGGCCAGATCTTTATCCTCCTGTGACTGCCGTACGGCTCGCCAGCAGACACATAAATGGTGAAATACCTGATATATAGCAATATAGCAATCAGGAGTGACTATTGAGGGCAATGAAGTATGTGTCCTAGTTCATTTCCCTTTGTTACAGAAATCAGATTCAGCTTTTGGCTGTGATCAGCACAGTCACTGGAGCCAGTCTGGTGAATTCGGCCGCCTTTGTATTGGTAGTGGTGTACGTTGTGAACTAAAATGGGGCTCTTGAAAAGAGACATTTGCCCATTTTGGAATCCTACAGTGCAATGTCCAGTGTTTTTTCTATGTTTCCCAATACTACGTCTGCCATGTACCGTATTATGCCCATCCACTCCTTTATCCATCCACTCCTTTATCACCATGTCTCCCAGTACGACACCAGTTTCTCTTTTCTGAACACAGTGGGGTTCTGTTAGCATTGGATCCCCTGACTGAAAGGTGAATTTGAGCCACTACATTTACACAGCAGCTTCTAAATTTAGAGGCCTGGACAGTTCCTGTCATAATTTCTGTTTTCTAGCCAGAATCCAAAATCTTGATGGGAATGACAAGAGACCAGAGCAAGAAAGTGATATTATCAGCCAGGAGTCTTCTGTTTGGTCCTCAACTCCCCGAAAGAATGGCAGCGTCTTGAACTTTGAATCTCCTGTGAGCAAAGGCACCAGAATACAAACCATTTCCCAGTCTGTGCCCCAGACTGTGCCCTCAACCGGTGCTGCAAGACCTGTCAACGCAACTCCCACAACTTCAATCTCTTTAACGCCAGCTGCCTCAGTACCAAGTGCACAGAAACCAAGGAACGATCATATCGCAAACAGGCAAGATGGCTTTGGTTTTGAAATGGCATTTATTCCAGCAGCTCCATGACATACCTCTTGTTTATTTACAAAATAGCTGTGTATTCAGGCTTTCTGGAGCAGTGAAACAGCTGAAGAATTTTTTAAAAGCAGATTCATTCATGAGCACTACTCAGAGTGATTATAAAACTTTTGAAATGATGTAGTTGGAGTTTACACACACCTTAAGAAAAGGTAAATACTAAGCTTCCCCTCAGGCACATAACTAAAATAGTTTGTGTGGGATACTGTTTCCATCAACAAGACAAATACAGGAGGAGTGAAGGAACTCTGTGTGGAATGCCTGTGCAGGTCTAGTTGCAGGACAACCAGTTTTGGACATCAGCAGACTGACACTTTAAGCTACCTGTTGGTTTTTTTCCCAAGTTATCAGATAAAGAGCTTTTTTGAAACAGTTCTCAGAATAACAAGAAAATAGAATGAGAACGTAACTTGAGAGCTCAATTGCCTGCTGCCTTTTCCCAGGGAAGAACAAATATATCTCCCGATTTGTAGGGTGTTTCTCAAATTGCTCCTAAAAATTTGGAACAATGGTGATCCTGTAATATCCACTCTCACAATCTAGTGTTTGACTTCCAGAACAATGAATTTTTTAGACATTTTAATCACATTAATTGATAAGTGTGTATCTCAATATTTCCTTTTTTCTCCTTCCTAAAGGTACCCAAGCGTTGTGCACGGGAGCGCAAGCGAGCTTTGTAAAACAAAGCCCTACACACCAGTCACTTTCAAAAAGCACGCTGAAGATGCTCATTCTGAGCCTCTCTTTAGAAAAGGCATTCGGCAGGTAAATCCAGATGCTCTCGGGGCAGAGGCTCCTGTTTTTGCGGGACGTAGACCATATGCTACCAGGTATTTTGTTGTTAATGAAAATGAGTCCCGCAAAAAATCGCTCCGTTCTAGCTCCCGACTGCAAAGGCACTTCAGAAAGGATGAACCGGGAGATGTTATTGAGTTGTATCCACGCAACGTCAGAAGATACGTGGTTCGAACACCACAACAGATGTATTCCCCTCACCCCAGTGAAGATGAGGCGGATGAAGAGCAGCTAGGGAGAGACTTCATGAACAGATCCCACCGCCCCCGCTCACTGTCTGATCTTCGCCCAGCACCACGATTTTACATTGGGGAACGTGCTGATGGCCACATTCTCATGAGCAAGGACCTAGCAAGAGTGCATTACAAATCCTGGGATGACGGGTTTGAGCTAGACGCAGACAGGCCTCCATACGCCTACAAGAAAGTGCACCTGAACTACCCTGAGCCACGCGTCAAACCAAAACAAAAGCAAAAGCTGGAGCAATCTCCAACAGAATCTGATTCCATTTCCATCGAATCCAGCAGCGATCCGCAGAACAGCGGCAATGACCAGTATATCCAAGTCATTCATAGCAAGGAAAAGTATCCGAAACCTGGGACAAAACTCACCAAAAAGAAATCAAAAAATGGTGTTGATCTAAATATGTCTGAGCCTAATGAACTGGTCTGCTCAAACGTCTGAGAAAGTGCCCCGGCCTTTTTGTGTTTTGAACAGGCTACCTGCGTTTGTTGTACTTGCTGGTTGAGGTCTGTCGGAATAACGACGACACAGACTTTGTAACAACAGTGTACATAGTCATTCGAGGTGGGAAAAGCATAGTTAGCCTTGTGGTTACTGTTAACGGTACCTTGCTTTACTATCATAACTGATACATTGCAAAATTTGGAAAATTATTCCAATTTCCTGCTTATTGTTGTGCTGTTAAAAACAAAAGAACAAAACAAAAAAAAAAAAACCACCAAAAAAAACAAATCCCCACCTACTGGAAAATCAAAAGCTATGTATTTGGGGAACTTTAATTAAACCAGTACAAAAATCTGTCAGATGAGGCTTTGTCTCTTTGATGCAGTCACAGCTAAAGATGCTTGCACTGAACAAATTGAGCAGGTAATCAGCTTCCTACAAAGAGCTGCTATTTACAGTGATTTATGACATCTTGATGTGCCTAGTTTGAGTATGGTGTAGCTCAAAGAAATCAGCAATAGGTTAATTCCAGAGAATAGTGAGTTTCTTGAGAGTGTACTGCCTGGGCAGTGGAGTTATTCGATCACAGCAGTGCATGCCAGCTTTCTGGATGAAATCCCAGATCTTCTATTAATTTTCTGGTCAGACTCCTCAGCCCAGCCCGAAGCTTCACTGGGGAAAACTTTCTATCCACAGCCTTTAAAAACCTTGCTTCATTACTCCTGATGTAATTCCCTCCAGTTTTTCACACGCCGTTGCAATTTTACACCTTCTGTAGATGCTGAAGATTGCTCTTTTTTCCCTTCATGTCACTCGGATGACACCGGGACAGAAGAATCCGCGGCCTCCGGCCCTGTGCCGCCTCGCCAAGGCCCGGCGGGCGGGC